GGATTTTTTTCCTGTAGATTTCGGTCAGTTTCCTGTGTTTTCCGGTCAGTTTTCTGTGTTTTACATCTGGAAGTTGATCGGAATCTACAGGAAGAAAATCCGGTAACTTCCAACTGGAATACTGCTTCCCCTTTCCAGCGCTTTCCTGTGCTTTCCGGCCGTACGCCCACGACCTGGGTATGGATGATATCCTTTTCTGCGAGTTTCTGATCAACACTAAATTTATGTACGTGATGCTTATTATTGGTAATTTGCGATTACTTGGTTTTTTAATGGTTACTACGTACAATGCGCATCAAAAATCGTTGATATGATCAAATTTCATTTTTTCCATCTATTTATAACAAAAGAATTTGTCATTGACTTGACTTCTATAAAATAAAGTTTTTTTTCATGATAATATTGGATTTTATTATAGTTTGTATAGTAAAAGAAAAACTTTGAAAAAAATGTTTCGGTATGAATGATTAAAATTTTTCAAAAGACAGCCCTACTAACTTCAACATAATGACTAATTAATATCTCATAGATATAACTATTAAAATGAAATAAAATAATTATTATTAGAAGTAGGCAGTTTAATTGTTTATATGAACATTTGATTCGTAATAGATTTTCATTGAAATAAACAAACATATCGCAAAGCCAAGGGGAAGTTAGAGCAAAATCAACTGAACGTAAAAAGTAAAAAGTGAGCTATTTTTCTCTATTTTGCCATCGTCCGTCTGATTGAACGAACACATTAATTTATCTCTTATCATTTGTCGTTTGTTTGTTTTCAGACTAATTATTGGGAGAAAAAAAAGAATAGGCAACAGTGAATATAACCGGCAGTCAACAAACATTTATTGTATGCATATATAGATCATTTTGTTTTGTCTGAACGACAGTTGTATTGTTAGATATCTTACACAAGTGTAATTCATTCATTTATTTTCATCGATAGATTTCCTCAATGTTATTGACAAACGAAACATCATCATTACATGTTCAACTGTTCTCAACTAATGATGAACAAATGTTATGTATTATTAGCATGCGCTTATGGTTACTCTCTCATTCATATGTGACCTTACTGATTCACCTTTTTTTCTTTAATATTTACTACGTTTGTCTTTTTTTTGTATGGTATTTTTTTCTCTTGTCTCCTAGCTTTCGCAATTTTGTTGATGTCTTCAAGAAATTTATTCAAATATGGTCATATCAGGAAGGACACAAATATTTATATGGAATTATTTTATTAATGAAACAAATGATATTGATATTCGCTTATGTTCTATTCGCCTTTTTGTATAAATGGATCGGTATGGTACATGGCAATTACTCTATAACATCTATGGACTTTCGGCGCTGGTTAATTGAAGCATCTGTTTTTCCGTTTCTAATTTTGGGCACTGTTTGTGTGCATTTGATTGGATATTTCAATGAAATTCTCGATAAATATCAATTATTATACGTCATTGAAATCATGATCAAAGTTCTTTTGTTTTTGTTGATGCGTTATGCTGAAAGCGAACCAAATTTTTTTCTCAACTCACTTCAAGTTTTCATGATTCGTAGTGTATGCAAAAAATATTCAAAATGAAATATCTATTAGAAATTTATTAAATGAAATGATACTATACTCCCTTGTCGTTGTTAAAATATATGTTGGAGTAGAGTAGCAGTTTAATTCTCCATTTTATGAGCGCAAAAGATGATTGGAATCACTGATAGCCCAGTAGAAATCTTCAACACTATTGTATGCGTAGGCACAACTTCTATTTGCTTGATACTTCCAATAATTTTTTGTTTTAGTTTCTCTTCAGGTACGATACTACTTAATAGGAGGCAGTCGCGTCAACAGACACAGTTATTTACAGGCTTTACTTTGAAGTATTGAAAATTGCGGTGAATCATCAATTTCGAGTCTGTAGAACGGGCATACCTCTGATTGGTCCCCTATTAAATCCTCCGATTTTTTTCCGAGTTTGTCCCCAATTATATTAATTGGCGCTTGATTTCAAAAAAATATGAATTTCTAACGTAGTTATAGTAAAGGTGAAAGACAATTTTTATCGTAAGATTAACAAGTGAATATAAACATTTTTTTGCAACAATTAAAAAGAATTAAAAAACTGCCGAGCAATCACAGCATTATATCAAGACAAAGAAAATATACTCTGGCAATTTTGTAAACGACGCCACCCTTCTACTACTGTTTTCCGTTCACGTTTGAGAGTATATTGAAAACCATTATAGTTCAGCTTCAGCACCTGTCCTGTTCTCTCCGATGGAGTAAAACTGAGCATATTTCAATATGCTTACAAATAAAAAATATCGGTAATGAAAAATATCATTCAGTCAGTCGTGGACGCTTAGTCATTACATGCATCTTTCTTATAAGTTGCTGGATTATACCAGAAGAAATGAATCCGATTGTCATTGCCACTAGCTGTGCATACAGACAGAGCGAAGCATGAACATTTCAATGTTAAATAGAGTGGGGACGAATTAAGACTGACCCTTTAGAACTCCGTTGATAGTTAACTTAATGGTTTTTTCTTTGTTGAGATTAACGATCTATCGTAGCAAAGTTAACAGTAAAGATGTTCTTTCATTAATCTAGGGAAGATTTTGATGATAGTTTCTATTATTTTTGAAATTATCTTATGGAGAAATGCGACTATAATATCAATGTGTATTGTTAATTGCTAATATTGATGAATTTGAAGAGTAAAAAAACAATGAACAGTCGTTTTCCAGATGAAAATACACTCGCAAAAATTGATTCTATTCGACTAGAGATGATTAATACAACAAAAGATTCATTCGCGGATGAATTCAAGACTCAATTGAAATTCTATCAAATAATAGTTAATGAACTAGAATTTCATGGATGTTTTCTATATGCATAAAAGATTCAACACTGATCATCTGAACTCGTAAGATCTAATCATATCCGGCTGCCGAAATCCATCAAAGTTTCATCATTTGGGTTATGAATTATTACCTGTAAGAACCCATTAGTCTTGCTGGTAATTGTTTAGAACAATAACTTGATAATAAACTATGTTATGAAAACCGGAAAAATGGATCATTCTGTATTGCGCTTTTGCTCTATAGCAAAGACAGTCTCTAAGAAAAATAATATTATGCGTATTTTAGTGATACACGAAGAATTGTCTAGGTCTTTTTTGTTTGATCAAATGTTTTTCTGTTCGGAACATGAATTATATAAATCAGAAAATTTATACCCAACAAGTTATACTTGATATCTTGACTATTTTTCTTAGTGATAAGAAAGGATGATTTTATTCATTGACACACTGATACTCACGAGAGTTGTTTTTCATCTACTGATATTGCACAACTTCAAACGAAAATCACTTCAAATAAGAATTCCAAAGGATATTAAAATGCGGTCCGAAGACTGATGGGTTATCGTACTACAAAAAAAAATATCCCCCATTAGTCATTCTCATGACCGTTTCTTTTTTGTTTTTAATATTAGTAAACGTACTGTTGATCTGATTCTGTTGAATTAAACAATATTGAGTTTCTCACTAGATTCAAAATTATTGAAAAATCATTTACAGGTAGTAATAACCGAGAATCACCTGCTACGCAGGCAATATTGGATTGTTTGATTCATAGCAGATATCTAAATGATTTGTTTTTACACCATGTAAGTAAATAATAATTGAACTTGATTACTATTGTGGTTAGAATATTGATGAATAATTATATCAACGTGTTTCCCATCATTATTAGGTTACTATTCTCATGTGCTTCGTCAATCAGAAATGATGAACTAGAAAGGTACAGAATAACGGCTGGAAAATGTAACATTTATCAATTATTTCTCAAAACCTAGGTTATATGACATTTTCACACAACGTTCTTCAATGAATAATAGCCTTCTAGTTGAAACAAATTCTACTTTTTACACTGGACGACGAACAACAATGTAGCGATTCGATCGTTTTCATTAACAAAAAAATTGGGTATTCAGTAAAAATGCGCTGCAGTCTTTTCCGATTGAAAACTATTTCTAACACAAAAGCGAAAAATACTTATGTTTTTAAAATTGTCTGTAGCTCAACTTTCTAGGACACTCTTAGAACTATCGAAAGTATTATAATCCCGCCTTCAATAAATTATTATAAGTGAATATCTTCAAAAAGAGTGCAGAAATCGACGAGCTTTCTTTTAATCTTTTAATCGGTTCGGTTTGAAATTTTGAAAAATTCGATCGATTCAGTTCGAAAGAAACACGAACCGATCCCATCACTGCTCCACACCCACACCCACACCCTCGAGAAAAAGCGTTGAACGAACGATAAAAAAAACACATTACGGCCAGTGTTTCTAACAGCAAGAGTCCGCCTTTGTTACAAAGAGTCAAAGAACCTTGCAATATTGATTTGACACTTTGTTTTACACTTTGCTCATGAAAACAAAGTGTCAAGTTGATACTTGCTGANAACAGTACATTTTTACCTATTTCAGAAAAATCGAAAATTATATAAAAAATACAGAAAATTTTAATTTGCCCTAGGTGAGATTGAAATTTTAATTTCCCCTAGGGGAATTTTAAATTGCCCTGGATTTTAATTTCCCCTCCAACATATACACTTGAAGAGTAAATTTCTGAAGCAGTGCAAAATGAATTAAGCGATTTGTCGACGTCGACCTATTGAGAGAAATTATGCAAACTTTGATGTACAATTTTATAACTACAGCATCAGGAGAATATATATACAGGATGACTGGTCAATTAGAATCAGATTTTGGCGTAAAATATTTACAGTAGAATTCTCTTGTATTCTTCATCAAATAGCGTCATCTATAGTGGATAGTATTGTTGTTTAGAGTCGTCAAAAAATGAAAATGCACATAAAATATTTTTCATTGGATATAATGAAAAGGCAAAATTTTTCCGATTGGCTTTTTCTACTTTTTTTATTGTCAGCTCACAAAATATATTTTAGCATGAGTAAACCATCTGAAGCATCTGCAAAAAAAGTCGCTTGCTTTGAGCCTCGCGAACAAAAAATGGATGCACAAAAAGCAGTAGGTTCATAGAAAACATGATCTTGCTAAAAGAAGAACATTTTCGTCTAATATAGAATGGCTCTGTTGATCTTGATAAAATGGCTCCAGAAGATATGACATCAAAAGAATATTATCTTGATTCATCAGCTCATTTTGCTGTTCATGAAGTTAGTTAAAAGAAAAAGAAACTTTTCAATAACTTCGCAATGTATCGAATTTTTAGGAATTATTAAAAGATGATATTCGTACAAAAACATTTCGCAATGCAATTATTAATAATCGACATTTATTTAAAGACAAAATTGTATTAGATATTGGTTGTGGTGTTGGAATATTTAGTTTATTTGCTGCTAAAGCCGGTGCCAAAATGGTTATTGCTGTAAGAGTTTCTATTTGAAAATAAAAATCAATTTTTATTCTACGTATTATTAAATTATATAGGTAGAAAAATCGAATGTAATTGAATATGCAAAAAGAATTATTCGTGCTAATCGATATGATAAAAGTAAAATGACTTTGATTGAAAAGCAAAATATAAATATGAATTTGTTATTTAGTTATCAAATTTGTTAAAGGTAAAGTTGAAGACGTCGAATTGCCTGAAGGTGTGAAACAAGTTGATGTTATTATTGCTGAATGGATGGGTTATTCATTATTTTATGATTCAAATATTCAAAGTGTGATTTATGCAAGAGATAAATATCTAGTATGTTTTCTTTGAAAATAGGAATAGACGAGATTTTCACAGTAGACGGAAGCTTAGAGTTAATAGGCCTGATGAAAAAAGTAATGTTGAACTATGTGAGACTATATCAATCTGAGTGCTTATAAAACTTTCGTAGAAGTAGCCAGTGAGCTCGGTTCTGGAACTTTTGACTAGACAAACAATCCTGAAGTAATTACATTAATCAAATGACATACGGTGACTTTGAATTCTATGATCACATCATGGTCATACCTCGTTTTAGAAACCTGATGGTATTATGTTTCCTGATCGTGCAACGCTGTACATGGTTGGTATTGAAGATCGTGATTATAAAGAAGACAAAGTAGAATGTAAGTGTTTATCTTTCGTTGATTCAATTATATTTCACATGTTGTTTTTTAATTTAAGGGTGGTCCAACGTTCATGGTTATAATATGAGTTGTGTGAAGAATTATGTCATGCGTGAACCTTTAGTTGATACAGTTGACAAACGGCAACTTTGTACAGATCATTTTCCGCTTAAAGTAAAACAAACAAATGAAATCTTTATTCATAGAACTAAATATTTCTTTTTAATTAGGCATTTGATCTGAAAACAATGACTATCAATGATATTGATGTTGATGCAAAATTTCGACTTACTGCTTTACGTGATGATTATATTCATGCATTTGTTATTTATTTTGTCGCTGAATTTACCGCGTGTCCACAACGAACAGTAATTAGTACTGGTAAGAAAAATAATTTGCAATATAATAAATCATAATTAGTATTTCTTTTTTGTTCGTAGCACCTGGTGCTGGTTATACGCATTGGAAACAGACTGTTTTTTACTTTCCTGATTATGTTACCATAAAATGCAACGAAGTATTGGAAGGAACATATTATTGCAAAGTTAATCTCGAAAATACGGTATGTTTATTGATCTAAATAGTATTGTGTTTTGATAAATTTAATTTTCTATAGAAAAAACTTTCATTTGGCATTGATTTTCAATTTAATGGTCAACTATCATCTTTACAAAGTAACAATCAATACTTTATGAAAGGTTAAAATCATATATTGTTTGAAAAACAATTCCTGGACATTTCTTTCTTTTTGTTGATCTTTTTACTTTAAAATAAGTAAAAAAAAGAAGGTTATTATTATTCTTAATTGTTGTTCGTTCAAAACATTTTATTATTGAAGTCTTTAAAAAATTTGCATGATAAACCCTAGTTATGAATATTATTTGTTTAAATTTAAAAGAAAAGATTGCAAACAAACAATTGTGCGTTCGAAATTTTTGTCAGACACGATCTAAAACTATATTCTATAGAAATTCAGGTCATAAAAGAAATAATGATTATGAGGACATGTAATTAACTATACTCTGTTTAATCTTCTGATCACAAAGAGATCGTTCTAACAGCTTTTTACATAACAAGCAATGATAGAATTGGATCAAGTTGTCGTAATGCGAGATGAACATCGACACCGAATGCATTTTTATTTCTCTAAATGATGAATCGTATGACAATGGCCGCTAAACTATTGAAGAGCAGAAGCACTTCCGCGATATTGATTATTCTGGCCGTATCTTTTGGTTATAAACTGCCATGGGCACGGATGATATTGTGTTATGTCTTCTTCTCGCTCACATTATTATACTCAGTTATCAGCGAGACAGCAACGTGATGGTATGACAACAGAACGGAACAAAAGGATAATCCCCCTTCGCATGGAATCGAACCATGCACCTCCTGCTTACCGGGCAGACGTATTAACCATTTTACTAGAAAGGGTATCTCTCTCCGTCTTACGATTGTATGGGAACAATACGATCGTAACATATTGCATATGTAAAAAACAAAAATATTATGGCTGAACTCAATACGTAAACGAAACTCTTTGTCTCATGTTTCGTATGAGAGAGAACTCCATGATTTGAAATAGATAAGTTTCCACTTAATTTGTCAATTAAATATTTTTATGTGCCGCACTCCCCTTCTCTAAAACTATTAGAAATAGCCTACACCAAGACTCCGCCGTCTTGAATGTAGAAGATTCGATCAGAAGTCCTATGCGTTTCTTTTAAGTGAACAGTTAATTTTCATAGTTGCACACTTCGAGTTATAAACTCAATACTTGCAAAACAAACATCAATTGGTTCTTTGCAATATAACGAGTCGAACAATACACAATAAGATTATACTTTGTTTGATTTTCATTAGGACACGTATAAAAATGTCACCGGATGTTTTACATATACGACAAGCGCCGGCTAGAACATCGAAACATTAATCGAAATTCTTCAGTTGTATGCAACCTGAAAATTGGGGAATAAATATTCCTAAGTTCGACTAGATGAAACCATTTTACAAAATATCACTGTAAAATAATCCATATATATCTTAATGTTTGATGCTTCGATCCATTTTACTGTAACACAAAAATAAAAAATATATGTACAAATATAATGTATTGTTTTTCTAATCAAAGCTTTTGTAGTTTTCGAAATTGATGATCTTGTGTCAGTGTGTTTGAAAAAGAATAATTCTTTCTGAACAAAGAGAACGGATGTATACGAACGGTTCGATGTAAAGATTAGTAAATCGCTTGTTTCATTAATGATGGTCAATCTATAAAATAGTCTATTTACATTTCTTTCTCTCATACGGAAATCTCTTCTTGAAGAAAGGCAGCTTGCTTAAAAATATCATCAACTGAAGATAGAAATTCGGTACGACTATGTATAACATCAAAGGAAATAAATCACTTGACCTAATTAAAAATTACAACATTACTAATCATGAATATTAATTGCACAAGGAAGTGGTGATGTATTCGTATCCTTATTTCAATAGATGATCAATATTCAACTAGCTAACATTTTAATAAATCACTTGAATAGCTTAAATATGTATCTTGTTTATTCATTACTCAATTGTTTGTAAAAGCCGAAGAGAAGAGAAGAGAAGTGCAGTCTTAATCTCGTGAACTATGATCATAACGACAACAAGGGAGAAATAAGAGAACAAAGCAATAAGAGATCGAGTGAAGAAATTGCAAAATAAATATAATCACATAAAGCCGTGAGACAACAGAACGTCCCGATCGATGACCACACTTGATCGAGAATGAGACGAAAATAAAGCTCCACTCGTATCTTTCTCTCTTCTCTCTTTCGCCTACATTTACGTCACGTTTCTCCGTCATCGATCCGTATGTGTGTGCAATTTTTGATCGTTGATGTTTCATCATTGTTATAATCGACGGAGAAGCCACTTTGTAGGGTCTCATACACTTCCAGAATAGCGATACGAACTATAACCATGAAGCTCCCACTATCTCTCCTATTAATATTCGTCTTCAAAAGTAAGTTTACTATGTTTCCTATCAATAAACTTATGTTTATCATTTCGCATTTCTCCAGTATCTATTCTTCTTGCTGCCGAAGAAAAATACAAGATTGTATGTTACTTTACAAATTGGGGTAAAATTTATTCTCTTTTAATAATACAATGTATGTATTATTTTGAAAATTTTATTTTGCAGCTGTGAAACGTCCCGGTGGGGGTTCAATGGCTCCTGAAGATATTGATCCTTGTTTATGTACACATGTTATATATGCGTTTTCGGAAATGGATAATAATCAATTGATGCCAATGGAAAAACATGATTTGAAAGATGGCAGTCAACCAGGTACGCATGAGGATGCATCAACAGTTTGAAACCTTTTCATGATCATTACTTGTTTTCAAAGGCTTTTTCGAACGTTTCAATGCTTGGAAAAGTGTTAATAAAAATCTGAAAACTCTACTTGCTGTCGGCGGTTGGGTAGGAGAATTTTTATAGAGAATATTTATTTGAATTATTTTTTAATTTCTATAGGATATGGGAATGAAAGATTTTGCAGGTAAGGTGATAGAAATTTATCTCGTCTTGACATTTCATATGTATTATAACATTTTTATCTCATGTGTATTAATGATCTTTATATCAAACGCGTTTGTGTACAAATTAATCAGAGAAGAATTGACACTTATGAGAGAACTATCTCACAAGGAGATTTCGATAATCAAGGAAGTTGCGCAGAAACTCATGTGGGAGCAAAGCTGCGACTATGCTAGAAATATGATTGGTGGGGGAGGGGGGGTCGATATTCTCTAGCCAACTTTTTTTCCGAATAACAATACTAAGTGTAAGAAAATTGCAATCAGCAAATTACAGCTGAAGTAGTCCGCTGGTCGATCAATCGACTTTGCTTTTTGCGTAATTCATAATTCAATAAAGAAAGAAGATTGAGTACTTGTCTGATTGGGTTGAAATGAAATTTTAACTTGTTGACAGGTATTGTTAAATCTGAAAAGACTATGAAAAAATTCGCTGAATCAGCTATCAAATATTTACGAAAACACAAATTCGATGGTCTTGATCTTGGTAAGAAACTGAACTAAAAACTAAACTTGATTTATCTATTTGTTTATTTTTAGATTTTGAATATCCTGGTAAGAAATAGCCTTTGATAAAAATCCTGAAATTAAATTATTCGACTAATAGGAGTTGATTGGAGAGATAGTCCAAAGGAAGATAAACAAAAATTTACTAAAATGTGTGAAGTTAGTGAAATCGAAAATTTTCTTCATTATTTCATTTTTTTTGTTCAAATTAGATTTTATATGCAACATTTGAAAAAGAAGCCGAAGCTAGTGGTAATGAACGTCTTCTTCTGACTGCTGCTGTTGCAGCTGCAAAAGTTAATATTGATAAAGCATACGAAGTCGATAAGCTTGTTCCGTAAGTTAGACTGTCTTTGTTTCTACGAATAACAATATCTCACTGTTTCTTCTATTTTTAGAGTCATGGATTGGTATGTAAGAAAAAAAGAGAATCGTTAACCTGATTGTTTTTTCTTTGAATAAAGGTTTAATTTAATGACTTATGATTTTCATGGATCATGGGATCAAAATCGTGCTCATCATTCATCACTAAATAGTAAAGATGATGAAAAAGATGATACCATGTATATTGTATGTACCATCTTTAATGACTTATTGTGTTTCTAAGTTTAACTTCTTTTCTTCCGTATAGGATTTCGCTGTAAAATATTTTCAAAAATTGGGTATGCCAGCCAGTAAAATGATGTTAGGTGTAGGAACATACGGACGTGGTGATACACCAGCTATGCCTTATACAGGATTTAAAGGTGAAACTGGCTTTGTTGCATATTATGAAGTAAGAATGAAAATTTCTAGTTCATCTTGCTGATTTCATTTTCAATGATGTGAAATTCTAGAGTTGCGTTCAAATTGTTTGTGAAAAAATGAAGGAAACATGGGATGCTAAACAACTTGTTCCATATATTGCTGGACCGTATAATCAACCGAAAGCTGGTGTTGAAAATGTTCGAAGTATGAAATATAAAGTAAGAAAATTTTGAACCAGGAGAAGTAACACTGCGATTCGATAAAATATATTTTGATTTTCAAAGGCAAATTATATTAAGAAAAATAATTTGGGTGGAGCTATGATTTGGACATTGGATATGGATGATTTTCGTGGTCAATTTTGTTGTCAAGGAAAGTTTCCTTTAATTAAAACCATTAAAGCTGTTTTACATGGACAATTGAAGTTGTTACCCAAAGAAAAGATTTGTTCAACTTGTCCAACAAAAGAATATAAAAGTAGCAAATGTGTTTTCTAGCGATACTATGTTGTTTTTTTGTTGATAGATTTTAAGCCTGAAATTCAACCACAAACAACAGAGAAAACAACGAAAAAACCAAAGAAATCGAAGCGCGATGCCGATGCACCATGTAAAAAGATATTTTTAAGAGAGAAGAAAACAAATATTCATTTGATTCTTTTTAAAATTTTCTAGCACCTCAAGATGTGTGTGAAGAATTAAAAGATGGCCAATGGCCTGATCCAACAGATTGCAAGAGCTACTATCTATGTCGTGGTGTTGGAAGTCAATGGGGGGAACAAAAACGTGAAGTTTGCTATACTGGTAAGAATAATAAAACCTAATCTCAATGAAAACATGGTAAGTCCTAATTTAAGATGTGGTTGAATAGGAGATATTACATTTTGAAAAAGTGAATTTTTTCGATAATAATGACGAGGGATACTCTTACTACAAACTGCTGATTTGATAGACAGCAAAGCTATTGAATTTGGCGTACGGCACCATCATTCTTCGTCTCGCATGCTTATTTTTCAGGTGCTTATTTTGATCCCAATGAAAAGACATGCAAATGGGTTGGCATGGATAAGGTTTGCTTATCAGATTTACTCATTAAAATTCTTTACTGAAATTTCACCAATAGCTTAATTGCGAAGAACTTGTCGAAGGTTATGAAAACCCTGTCGCTGGTGTTACACGATCAACCGATGAAGCAGGTGATAATGCTGATGACGATGATGACGGAGGAGACGATGATGATGGTCCAAGTGATGGTGCGGCGTCAAAAAAGAAAAAAACAAAATCACCACCAACAAAATCAATATCAATATTAAGTCGAACAACATCCGAATTCGATACATGTACAGTAGAAAAACCAGTTGAATTCGATCCTGTACAAGGTAATAAATATATTCCTTTTTTTCCTTCCGGCATGACTCGCTTCATCTGCTATAGCCTTCTATAGGTATGCTATGTTACTCCTGCGAAAGTCAGAAGGAGAACAGCGAATGCCAAATCAGTCCGAATCAGACGACATCGATTATGTGCGAAACAAAACAACAGATTTGTTACAGCAAAAAAGCCATAAGCGTCGCCGGTAAAAAATTCGATAACATTCTTTTGTTTCTACTGAATATATTGAATTTTAAATAGGAAAACTACTACAGTTCAGTCGTGGTTGCTCAATGCCTCCGCCATCGGCGGGCAATCTTACTCAACAAGCACAGTGTTTATCAAGCAAAGCAGAAGGCAAAACTATATGCGTGAAATATTGCCAAACCAGTCTTTGCAATATCCAGGACATAAGGTCATTATTCGTCTTTTTTTTTTCTTCTTAAAAATTGTGGAATAAATATTAATGTAATCTTTTGGTTTTGATTTTTAGCGATGGCGCCTCGGTCGCTACAGTCAGACGAATAACACACGTCGCCTATTACCTTTTGGCTCTAGTAATAGTTGTCCTAACAACAAATCATCATTATTAACTATGTTCATTTGCATAACTGTTATAGTACGGGAACTAAAACACTCTGTTTATCGCTAATCATTGCTCTGTTTATTTGTTTCTTTTCTTTTTCTGTAACTGTTTGGTCCTTTCTTGTTTTCTTTTGTTGCCTCGATCAAAGAGCAATTCTCAACAGATTTTCAACTGTTATCATACGAAAGAAATTTTGATTTTTATCTTAACTGATAAGTAAATCTGCCAGTGTAAGTTACGGCAAATTCCAAAATAATCAGGCATCACGAATATGCTGATTCATTAGATAAGACGTCATAGGTGTGTACAACGGTTGGCCGTAGAAAGGCCGAAAGGAAAAATATCGAAAGGAAAAATACCGAAAGAAAAATATCGAAAACAGAAAAGATAGAAAAAAGCGACGTCTACTAAATGAAGGTTCTAATAGTTTGTTGTTCATTGCTGTTGATTTGATTATTCCATTGGTTTGACAATGATAACCCTTGATACTATTGATAAGTAATATCTTATGAAAACTAGCTAAAATAGGCGTAAAATAGTATACAACGATTAAAATTTTATCATGATGACTACAGCTTGCTCATTTTTATCTGGTGAGAATCATCCGCCAACTCCAGTTATTTCATTTATTCAGTCGTAAAAAGGAAAACCTTTCCTTGTATCAGATAAATATATTTTCAAACTGAATACAACAGCAACAACTAGTAAATATTGGATATGTGTATTTTTCTTTATAACTCTTATTTATCTATGATCTATCCTATGATGCTATTATGATTTCAAGAATAAAAACATTTTAGTGCAAATTTTCGATATTTTTCCCTTTCGATATTTTTCCTTTCGTCATTTTCTATATTTTTCCTTTCGATATTTTTCCCTTTCGACATTTTTCCTTTCAGTCTTTCTACGGCACACCTGTACAACAATCTGGTATTGGTAGACATTTATACAGACAACTCATTTTTCTTTCAAGCTTTAAAAACAAATGCTAAATTCATTTCCCTCATATTTCGTTGATAAGTGTTTGAATGAAAGAAGATAATTTCGAAATCTTCAAAGAATTTTCGAGTATTGATTGTTAATCTTTAATATCCAATCAAGAATCGTTGATGGTAATGCACTTAGTCAAAAGTAAAAAATTACTATGCAATCCTGATTCGTTTTTCATGGTCAACTTTTGCATAGAACATGCTCTCTCTCATTAGTGAACATCGTTGAGCGAAAAATGGGTCTATCAAAATTGAAACCATATGAGAGGAGAGTACAGGGAAAAAAAGAAACTTTTTGTTCTCTTTTACTAAAAATAGAAAAGTGGATAAAAAAATGCTAAAGAAAGATGAAGAAAGAAAAACGAAATTTGTTCTTAGACGCCCTTGAACACCAGTGCTTGATTATACGTTGGCCTTGTTCCTTCAATCTCGCCGACATCATAAATTATACGAGAAGAAAAAGAAACATATAATATCGACTATATTTTCTATCAAGAACTTTTTATAATAGTTTTGTTCTAATTGAAATGCGTTTTTTTCTTCATTCATAAACAAGAGAATTTTGATTTCAAATGTAGATAATAAGAAATTTCGTTGAAAAAGTTTCAATGCGGATGGCGACATGGATATAACATCATTAATTATGTGAGTTTAAATTTTTTGTGTTTCATACGACTTTTTATTTTTTTTTAAATATTAGTATTATATGTGTAGTTGTTCCAGCTTTACTAGCTGTTAGCATTTGTGTGATTATATTCTATTCGAATTGTGGTAACGACCGAAAGTTTCATGGTCAAAGAAGTATGATATGAATTTTATTCTTGAAGAAGTATTCTCGAATGCTTATGAACCTAGAGTATTATATTTCGATTTCAAGGATAACCTCTTTTTGTTCAGTCTTAGCCTTTCTTTTTTGAAGCCGGACTGCATTTTATTACAGACTAAAGGAGATGTTAGGAGTTTTGTTCGGACAGAAAGCTTTCGATTATTTCTTACAACTGCCCTGGTTCGAAATTGCAAACAACAGAAAGATTTCTCGAGTTGATAACAAAAGCAAAATGATTCAAAGGTCAAACGAGGCGGTGAGTTATGGTTAAAATGCAAAATTCTTTCGTCTGATTGTTGTTCTTTTATTCAAATGTGGAACGAGAAAGCGAACGAACTTTTATTCTATTTTGTCTGACCTTGAGAACCTCTTATTGAGAATAGGTTGACCTAAAAATTGCCAAGGTCTATAACCTTGACAGTTTTTAAGTCGATTACTATGAATTGATTATTAATGTGGGTTGTTGAAAGAAAATCTTATGGTAAAAATAGTTTAAAAACTCGAACTATCTCTACGTTGATCTAAAAAATAAAATAATCCACCATAAAGCCATTCGATAGAATCAGATTTTTATGCGTGTTAGAACTATATTTTAAGGCTTTTCTCTCGCCTAAAGTCATTTAGTGCAGAGCAAGGCCTAAATCAAAGTAACAGAAGGTCGTCTGCATTGAATTTTTCAAGTGATTCAGTTTTATGGTTTGGTTGTTAACAGTATCTTAGTTCAACAATACATAACATTTTATTTACTTCACTAACAACGAGAAACCATTCGAAAAAAAGCTATTTCGAGACGTTGATTTCTTTTGAACTTGCTAACATGCTGTTGGCTATAATTTGTTTAAAAACATTGAAATTTCCGCAATAGTACAAGGTCAAAACTAATCATAGAGGTTCATCTCTAGAAGTCATAAATGACAGAACAAAATTTATTGTTCTTCGTGCAAACAACATTTTTGATTTAATTTTGTCAATATTTACTTTCAACTAACTAAGCGTATCAGTAAGCATATTTAGTAGCATTATTTTCGGTCACTTTTATTGGAATAATTACCACACAGAATAGAACATTGTGCTGTTCCTTCTCAGGGTCATCTTTTGAATATGATCATTCGCATGAACGAATACCTCACGACAATTATATAACTGGTTTTCCACGTTCTTATCGGTATCCACAACCGCAAAATCGTTTACGTGAACCTCCGCCTACATTTGAAGAAACCTCACCATCCTACGAAAGTTCTGTTATTCAAATAGGGCGCCAACAACGGTCGGTATTTTCACCTATATGTACAATACCAGTAACAACGCACTACGAACAATCGTCACCGTCTATGACATCGTCTATCTATTCAACGATGCCTCCGTCTTATGCTGAAATATTTTTAACGCCATATACATTAACAAATCAATAAAGAATTTTGTTTTAGTTTTCAATATCATATCTATAGGCATATACATTTATTTCTAAGGTTTCCTATTTGTACGTAATTTTCTTTTTCATACTCTAATTTGTGATTACCTAGATAATGTTGTTGTTTTCTGTTTTTGAAAGTATGAAATGAAACGCGAACCGTTGTATAATATCCAATAATACAAAAAATATAGAACTCATCAAAATTTAATAGCTGATAGTCTTTGATGATAGCTGAACACATACAACCAACGAAAGCAAAGATTCGTCATTATTATTTTTAGTCACGGTATTCGCGTGACAAAAACAAAAACAGAACGCATATCTTTACATTGAAAGGTCAAACGGTAGGATTTCGAAAGAGTGAAAAAATCTAATACTCATAAACATAAAAATTCTCGCTGACTAATATAAAGTAAAAACTATTGAAATATATTAAAAACAGTAAATAGTTGAAGAGTTAATACAATTTCTACCAGTTCAAAGACTTTCAACAGAATTGAAGTGTATTTTCGCAAGGCTAACGATTTCTGAATATTTATCCGGCTAAATCCAATATACAATAATTATTGGTAGCTATAGGTGAAGAACAAATTAACGAAGCTCTTTTATTTCAACAAATATTTGATCTAATTGTGGTCGTAAGGACTTAGCTACTATCGACTTACTAGAATATATGAGTTCCATCTGTTTTTTTTGAGTCGTCAACAACTGAAAAAACGTTCTCGTTTGAGTTACAATCAGGAACTCACGTCAGCAAAGAGAGAAGGAGCTTTAAAAGATTATCATTTTTCGAAAAAAATCTATGTAGAGTCAATATCTCTAATTACTAGGGATGTGGGTGCGAATCATTCACTAGTTTCGACGGCATAACCATTGGGGCCGGTATTCGAGCATGAAAAATCTTCATAATCCATCGGGCTATTCATGCGTGAGGAAAGTTTTTTCGTACACTTGTCGTAATTAAGGACAGCGATTTTTTTTCTGATTTTAGACGTTGTTTGAGAAAATTCACTTCAATAAAATCAGCATTGAGTTCTCATGAATGTTTGAACAACGATAGATTTCGACACGTTCTACCAAATTGCTACAGACGCATTTCCTGTATCTCTTACAATGAATGTAAAAAAAAAAATTTTCGCTTGAATTTTGTTAGAGTGTCATAATTAGGGAAAGTGATTCTAGTAATGACAACGAGGGATCTTTATCGTAGACCGCTGATTTCTCGGGGATCCGTATGACTGAGAGAAGTTCAAAGTGTACCATTTGAAAGAGAAGACTTCAAAGATCATTCATATATATGGGCAAAACGGGACATACACCCCCTTCATTCAATTCTTATTCTCCGCACAGGCTTTCTTTTTGAATAATTTCTTTTATCATTGACTTACGTGAAACTCTTTGCTCTTTCACATGACTATTTATTAATTATTAATTAATTAATCAAGAAGTAATCAGTGATTTTCTTGCAAACGGTATAAGAAAAAAGTCTGAAAATTTCAGAATAGACTCCAGAGTCCAAGCTGCATCTATGGTAAAATTTTTAGCCAGATTGAATTCTAAAAAACTTCCTCCGAAAAACTGGCTCTATAAATAAGCAATCAAGAGTAGAAACAAATCTTGTCATGTTATTATAATCCCTGGACTCGGAGCAAGGATTTGTACGATTTGAAATCTTTTCCAAATTTTTTGTTCGATTATGAAGATATCTTGTCGGTAGTGTATTCGTACTTCATCACGTCGCTAACAAAATTGTCACGTCGCCAACGAAAAATTCATACGTTTGACAGAAGAATCTAGACATGTTGAAGAAAACATTGCATACGTATGTTGTAGCCCGAGATGGTGTTTACCGGATATCGAATTTAGTTTTCTAGAATTATGTAGCAGTTTGGAGTTTTTTTAAACTGAAGTCCATAAAGTGAAAATCAGTGTCCTTTTTTGAGTCACGTCGCTAATGACTGCTTTTTCCAGATAACTCCTATCAACAAAGTTTCCTAGTACTAATTTCTGTAGGATATCTGGAATCATTTAAGATCCATATAATATATAAAAATCAATTCTAGAAAATTTCACTATTTCGAGATATAGATATTTGAATATTAACGAAATCACAGCGCTAACAAATAATTTTGCCTATATGTGCACTTTCAAAATTAAATAGGTCGAAAACGAAGTGAATTTTGATACTGACTCTATAAAGTACCGACAAACCACAACAGATCAGTAGAGAAAGGACGTTTTTATATCTTTTCTAGAACCAACTAGTTAAATACGGCAGACTAAAAAAAACATATTCGAAAAGTTAGAAAACAAATGTTGATATTCTTCGACTTTTACAGAACATATATAAAACTAAAGGGTGATCACTACAATAAAATCCAATAATATATTCATACTTTCTCCGACATGCAAGTTTTCAGCTACGTATCTTATCAGAGTTAAATTAGCCAATTTATTTTCGTGAGTAAACTCATCGATCTGATGACGTAGTGCAAATATTTTCTAATATCAAAGACGAACTAATATAATTATTATTGTACAGTATTTCTACTGATTACGTCTATTGCGTTTGATACATTCTTAATCGATTAATATTATGATTATTGATTTTAAATTGAATCAATCCTCGTGTCAGCCATGATAAATCTATATATCGAAAACCATGTTTAATGCGGTGCGAAGCACAGCATTAATGTAGTCATGCGTGAGTTTGCTTCCTCTTTTTTTTTTCTTTCTCGACGTCCATATCAAATATTATCAACTTGTGACGCGATGATCTCAAAAACCGAACATCAGAAAACACTCCTTTAAATGCGAAATAAAAGACTCGACTTCAAATGTATACCATTTTTTCCCTGAAATTCTCTACGTGCTACCGTTCGCTCCCAAATGTAATTCCAAAAACACGATTTTGATCCAATCTATCTTTGAGATAATTAAAGCGAAAATCCAAACGATAAAAGTTAGGCGCCATAATATCAACATCTATAAATAATTTCTTTCTAACTTGAGTGCGCATAAAAAATTCTCGTTAAGTGACGCGATGATCTACAGAACCGTAAATGATAGAAAATCCATTCAAACTAGATATGAAAGTTTCAAGATAATAAAAAAGAGATGTCATCAAGCAATAGTAGCCAATAGTCTATTTCTTTGCATTTGATCTAAGATAGTGAATCATTGAAATAATTTAATGTTCAATCAAAAGCATTCTCTAGGATTATGGTGATAATCACGAAAAAAACGTTTTCTCAGCAATGAATTCTATTATGATGACTTGAGAACTAAAAAGAAATGTAATGATTTTTTGTTTTTTATTACAACTGCTGAAGACAGAAAAATGTGTATATTCCAAGCGAATGTGAAACTAATCAGGTCAAAACGATGTTTAATTAATTTTAAGATTGCTTGTTCCTTTTACGTTAATTTTTTTTATTTTTTCGTGTACTCGGCTCGTGCTTCGCACCGCATTTTGTATACGAGTGAAACTCGAATACCATCTAGTTCTTTTTGCATTCTGTTCGTAAACATAGAGAACAAAGAAATTTACTTTTTCTACGCCCACGTGCATCCAATACAATCGAATTATTAATCGTGAATGTGTCTTATACGACAAATATTTCTATATTTACAACTCTGTCACCAATGCAATCAGTAATTCCATAAGTAATATACTTTTTATTATGTTGAAATTCAACAAACGATCAGCATATCGCACACAATTCATGTATATAATAGAACAAATGTAGCTTGAAGAAATTAACTTTAGTGGAAATGAAATTTATCGATCTTTTCGTCTGTCTGGTCTAAAGTTTGAGTCGCGAGTCTGTCGAACCCTGAGAGAATTTAATATGCTCATTTCACAACAATGCAACGATCATCGGTTTCATGCATATCGAGCAAGTCAAATCGAAAATTGATGAGGTATACACCGGAGAAAAGAATGCTACTTAACTTGCTTTTTTCAATACCAGGACATAATAACACATGTTTCATATTAATAAAAATTTTCGAAAAATACGATATTAAAGAGTCTATTAAATACACATTAGAAACAGAAATCTATGTCATGTATTTTTATGCCTTAATGCGTGTTTCGTCTGTTCTCTACTTAAATAATATAAGAAATTGCAATTCCATGAGCTGTTATTTTATTTTTTTAGTCCCTTTATTTACTTAAAATTTTGTCAAAAATAACAAGAAACTTCTCTGGTTGTTTACGACTTTGATTACGAAAAAAACATCACCTTGAATTCCCTAGTAGTGTACACTAAAAAATATTTTTTCAGCGTTAAAAATGGCGGATTATTCAGATAGCAAATATTTTTAAATAATAGATTATTATGCGGTAATAATCCTTGAGCATAGACTAATCTACACAATTAAAAACTCGTTCTATTCATTATTCAATACGACGAATATAAATACACGTAACTCAACTGTTGCTAGTGTAGACGCTGGGATATTTTGGTCTTTAGATGTACTAACGGTAGAAAAGAAAAGAAAGGAGCAGGATCAAAAGAATATCGGCAAAAGTGCCAACTCAGATATTACGATGTTTCGTCTTTTTCTCTATGGCATTTGCCGTTCTTAGTTTATTGTTTTTCGTCTTCTTTTTATTTGTACAAAGTCGATAGTAGTATGTTTATCGATTTTGAAAAAAATGAAAAGAAATGTCCGAAACAATATCATTCTTTTATACAACTAAGGCTTATCGACATATGCCAATACAGGTGTTTCGGTGTATCAGACATAAAAAGAGAAGAAAAGAAAAGAAAAAAAAAGGAATCGAATCAGGAAGAAAAAGAAGAAAGAGGAGGTGGGACATGATTCTTTTTTTTTTCGCCGATTAATTCATTTATTCGACCCTATAGCAGCTATAATGGTACGTGCCACACAAAAATAAAGTACCATCGTGAAATACCTAATCAAAAAGTAGCAATCGAAATATTCATTCTTTATAATTCACACACGTATCAACAGCACAACAAAAGAACTCTGCTTGCCGACTTGCGGCCAATGGCATCTGGTGGAAAGCTTCCCTTCCCGCCAACTACAAGACATAATAGTAATGGACATCAAGTATCGGCAGCTACTCCATCGATGGATAACAGTACACTTTTTCTTATGTAAGATTCTAATACTATTATTTCTATAAAGCAGCCGCATAAAAGCAAACTAAGGTTTCATAGCAATTAAAAATGCAAGAGTTCACACTTCTTTTCTTTATGAGCTCTATTCAATTGAAAATATTTTTCTTATTAAATCTTATTAATAATTATAAATAGCAACAGAAAATAAAGCATTGGTATGTTGTTCGTTTATTTTCAGGATTTTAGCCATTCTTGTTCCAATTTTTTTCATTCTTCTTCTTTGCATCATCACGTATTGCGTGTACCGATATAATAGGAAAATATCGAGACGAGCACCAACAAATGCTCCTATTTGTAAGTAATTAAATGAAAATTTCTTGCTAAAAATTGTTTCTTCATTCATTTTAGTAAATCGCAATCAAAACGATCCTCATATTTCTACAATTATTTTTAATACTCGGCACAGTCCATATATTGTTGAAGAATTACCACCTCCCTATGATGCGTTAGGAGATATTAAGAAAAATCCAACTAACACATCCGTCAACATGAATGAACAATTTCCATTAACAATATTACCTGATACAACATTGACAAATACGAATGAAAGAACGACAACGGCAGCAGCATTGATACTTCCGACAGCTCCTAGTCCACCACCGCCATCTTATAGTAATTTTGATGAATCAAATAAATAACAATCCAACAGTATTCATATAAATTATTTATATTTTTCATGGCGAATTTATATTGATTATCTTCGAAGTCTTCCATCTCTTTTTTTTTCTAAGGAAATTGATTTTATATTAAATAAGAACATTTTTTGTGACAGTCTACATAAAATTTCATATTTTTTATCCATTAGAATAAAATTCTAACTCTTGATCTATTCCCGTGAAGGTGTCATAATCTCGAAGAGTTCGCTCTCACATGCCATACTCACCATCTAATTACTGCAATCGTATCCGCACTAGACAAAAACATGCAAATGATTCGCATGAACTAATAGTTACTTGAATACTTTCTTTGTATTCAAGAAAAAATCCTGTCAGAATGACATCTAATTATATGCATATTCTTGTTTAGAAGTAGAATTTGTTCTTTTTTTTATTGCTGTAAAATCTGAACTAGTTATTTAAAAAAAACACGAACCCATTTTGTGATTCTGTATTTTTCCGAGATTGATAATAGTAACGCATGAACAGGGGATGAAGTAAAAACGCGTTCTATTTTTACCGACGAATGCGTATGAAAAAGAAAAAACTTGAATTTCATTAGCAGCGACAATAAATAAAAAAAAGGAATTGCCATTAAAAAAAGGCACTTTTTCTCGGCTGCTTCAAAAAGTAACAATTCCGTAGAAAACGGAACGACAAGAAAAAAAAATGATTTTTTTTCTTTTTCCTTTGTAATAGAAAGAATCGAAAATAAGCAAATATTCTTCCAGTCGATCATACACACACATGTAAGTATTGACAAAAGTAAGCAAATGTACGTGACAATTGCTACTAGTTTATGTCTGTTTTTCTTCCAGCAAATATTGATTATCAAGGTTGTATATTAGAAAATAAATTGGTTTTTTGTTAAAATCTATATGTATTATGAATAGACTCAAGCAAGCTCAGAATGTTATGCTTATAATGGAACTAGCACAACAGTTGCGATTTAGTAAATCAAAAATGCACCCTATTTTGAATACAAAAAAATGTTTCTTTTTCTTCTTTTTTGAAGTTGTAGCGATACGTGCTGTTCAGCCGTAGCTGCATCTGCTGCAACGGCATGTTGCTCAAGTATTTCATGGAGTGCATTGTAAGCAATATTATTATTATTATATTTTGTATTTTTTTATTCATAATCTCTGCTTTGTTAGAGCTATTCCGTTTTTCATTGTTGCTGGTATTTGTTTTTGTGCTGTCTGCCTCATTTATTGTCGGCCAATGTTGAAAATTTGCCTATGTGGATATAAGTGCCCTTGTGGAAATCGAACTCAAGGTACTGCGCATCACTTTTTGTTAAAAATTCAATATGAACTTAAAATATTTCAATCGTAATCTAGTTCGATCCTCGAGCGCTACGAGTCCATATGCTCATTCAACTCATGTAATAAACAATGATGGCTTGCCGGATTATGAAACTATTACAAAAGATTTGCCAATGAAAGATTTAACACCTCCACCCTATAATTTTGTGGCTTCACATCCAAATGATTTTGGTATTGAAGTAGGTGTTCCGAGCGCACCGCCTAAATATTATTCACGACCGAATTCAGCCGCTGTTGGAGATTGAAGTGTTCCTTTCTGAATCGTAATTGATTATCATATTACCAAATGTGATGTTTTTCTCTTGAAACGGTGCTCAAGTAACAAATTACCTAACATTTTTGTCATCTTCTTTTCTCACGTTTTTGGCTGCCTGTGAATGACATGATACTTTGTGATTTTAATGAACAATATTTTTTTATTCACGCATTTTTATATTTTTATTACAAATGAAGAATATCATCATTGATGAAACAACACATGTATTAAAAAACAAGACGCGCATGTTCAATAGCTGAAGGCTGTGTTAAACATAAACAACCAAAAATAACAAGGAGGGAGGGTTAAATTATATTAACTCCCACTTGAGACACTACGTGATGTCTTTGATCAGCAATAACGAGTTGATCTTTTTGAAGAGAAAATAATAGTGATGAAATTGAACTATTTCTTTCTTTATTCCACTGAACCCGAAGTTCACTCCAACACTTAATAAAGTGCGTCAGTATGTAATACCACCTAGCAATTACCTTTTCTTTTCTTAGATTGTTACTTTGCGTAACAATTAAATGTCATTTTTCTAATCTTTTTAGTAGTGAAAATCTAGCATGAAATCATTCCTAATCTATCTTATGTCTAGCGATGTCGTCCAATTGGCTGTAATATAGCGAGTACACAAATGTCAATCGACATGAGAGAGACACGTAAATAGTTACTTTATAAGTTCGTTAGAGAATCATGACTTTCGAATGTACGATTAATCGAAATGAAATTTTTACTATTTACTCTGGGCAGATTGCTTCGATATTTCAGAAGAATGCATAGAAATAGGCTATAGTCTGCTTATCTTTACTTCCGATACGCTTGTAAACATATTGTTATGCGGGCATATGGCGTAGCGTGTTTCGTTGAGACTAAATGACGCCTATGACATGCTGTTTATCACATAGACTGAGCAACTTACAATGATAACAGGAAGAGAAGAAGTTCGTCAAGATGATTTCTACAATCGACGCCAATATCATGCAGATTAAAATGACTGACGCCAAAATCCAATTAGACAAATTTACTCAATCACAATCTACTATTTCTTCGGTTACTTTGATTCGAAATAGTAACATTTGTTTTGCTAATAAGTTGATTCATTAAACAATTTCTATTGTTCCCCGATGAATAGTAGCTATGTCTAGTCATCATATGTTCGGTATCTCTTTGAAAACAAATTAGAACGCGTGGCAGTTTGCAAACAGTGACAGATTCATAAAATTTAGCGCAGTAGAACATCAAATGACTATAAAAATAATTGAGATATTGTACTTTGAATCATTGAAAAAAATAGAGAAACCGAGTTCGCCAAAGGAATTGGTGATAGTCGTTTTTTTTTTACTTGCCCTATTGAATGAGAGCGTAAGACTTTTTCTTTCAAGCAAAAATAAACTTCAATTAAATCACATATCGAGTTACACCGCCTATAAATGTATATATAATCGATAGGTATTGTACATGATAAACAATTTGTAAATATATTTCATTATTCATTTGATGTTTTATTCGATTTTTATTTGTCAAGTAAATTTTCTTGACATTGAATTGTCTGTCTTATACATCTGTGTACTATTCATTGCCAACGAAATTTAACTAGAATCAAAGAGAGTTGCTGCATGTTTCTATTTACCTAATTTATTTGCACTTGCACAGGTTTTATTTTTCCAGTACATCAACAAGAATATTGCAAGACATAAAGAAATAAAGAAGCCAATCAATCGTAACTCTTTTTGATCGGCAAGATCACTGAAAGTTAATAAAGCGTGTTCACGCTGAAATACGAGACTAATATATTTTATTCTTTTTCTTTTAAACACAGCGTGAATTTTTGTTTAGTTGAAAATACTATCTATCTTCAAAAGAAACTCTATTCTATTTGCTTCATGCATATTCGATACTATCAATCAATTGATTCTACACAACACTCAATTATCATTTATTCGCTATTCTCGGATAGCATCTATGTGTCCTATTCTAATTTACTAAATACTTAAGGGATTAGTTTTCTTTCTCTCTCACTCTCTATTGCATGAATCTTCTGCATGAAGATAATGGAAAAATCAATCATGCAATTCACACGTAGTAGATCTTATTCTCAGACAAAAGTAATGATTGACTAAGTAAACAGAAATGTTTGAACAATGGAATTCTGATCGCTATGGAAATATAAAATAAAATATGTTATAGTAGTGTTTCCGTGACAGAAAACAATAAAACTCAATTATTCTTTTTGAAAATCAATTAATCTTCAACACGGTATGTATCAGAATGAGCGAAAAAGAAAATGCCGAATAGAAAAAATAGCGAAAAAATTTATTTCAATATTTTTAGACTGCTAAGATGAAGATTTTATATTGTCTGATACAATTTTAAGTACATCAAAAAATGAAATGAATCAAGCATAATTAGTTATAAAATTAATAAAAAGAAAATATTTCTTTATGTATACGTTTATTTCTTTCGTTTGACTATGATGAATGAGAAGCCATCTAATAATTCAGCAGCATCTATTTCAAAAAATCTTTCTGTATATTCGTATATGTATATACACACTGTATCCATTTCTTTCGCAAATCCAATATTTTTTTTATTCGATATATAAAATCGTTTAAAATTAGCAGAGGATTGCCTTTATTAGAGGTAGAAAAAGATACGCTGCATGTATTCGATGTCATCGAAATTTATACTAAATTAACAACAAGTGATATGCAATGGAAAAAAATAACGTATGGCGTATCTTTATTTCGTTATATCTTTTGTGTCATTTGTGTTTATTCCGTTAGCTAGATTAGACGATGATACCATTGACGAAAAACGCTAGCCAGTGAAAATAGATAACACAAGAAAACGGAGGAATAAAATATCACTGACTGAATTTTAAAATTCAAAAGAAAATTTATGGAAAAATATACTCATCACTATTTTCATACGATCGACATTTATTATTCGACACTTTTTCTTTCGCTCATTTTAATGCCATTCTTCAACGCTATCCTTTCGTGATTAACTCTATCTATTTGGAAGCCTTTCGTTGCATGCTGTGATTGAGATGCATGTTCTCTCTCTCTCTCTCTCTCTCTCTCTCTCTAGGATCACTTGACATTGATTGAGAGAAAGGAGAAGTTTGTAGTGGTCAATTAACACAAAGGCGAAACGAAGAGAACGAGAGAAAAATAGTAGCCATCGTTCTCTGTTGCTAGGAAACGTATACAAAAAAGTTGACCGAAGAGAACAATATAGCGAAAAGGAAAAGGAAATAGAATCATAGATTGCTTCTCTCCTTGTCGACATACATAAATTAACGAGTAGTGACCCTCAATCATTCATTCTGTCGAAAACACGATCGTTATCGGTCGCCAGTGGACACTTGTTTCTCTTCCTGATAGAATTAATAACGTGTTGACATAAAACACCATCTATAGGCGCGAGGTCACTATACAACAAGGTGTTGCAATGCCACAAATAATTCTATTTCCAATATCTATCACAACACATGAGACAACAATGATTGTTAATATTAATAGAAAATCTCAATCAACATACTTACATTTACCCGACATCGTTACTGAGTGTGAACAACGACTAGCTCATAATTTTGCTAATGATGATGCAATGAAAATAACATGCAAACAAATTGCGCATTCACTGCGACTCGTCGCTGATCAAGTTGATAAAAAACATTGTCACGTAAGTTCTTAAATAATTTATATTTAATTAAATTTATTTTTCTTTCTTGGTTTATTTAGGATTCTGATTTCAATCGAAATCTTCATTATTTATCAATGCGTCTTATGTTGCATTCAATATTTTGTACACTATGGACACGATCTTTATTACCATATATTCTTCTTTTTTGCAAAACAAAAATATTCACGTATTAAATACTATATATTTACCAAATTGTTTTAGTCATTTTCTTTGTTTTTTATGTATTAGTATGAAAAGAAAAATTTGTATTCACGCTATAAGAAACAGTGTACTATCATATCAATCTTTGTATTAATTTGAAGTCAAAAATAAATAAATGATAGTTTTTTATCAATAAATCTTTCGATATTGACAATCAAAAGAATACTTTATCTGATTCTGTATATATATATATATATATTCCGTAAAAAAAAACTACAAAAAAAAGATTAGCTGCATGCTGTAATCTACTATATTTAATGTCATAGCAAATATTGGTGAACAACTATAATCAAGATTTTGAGATCAATATTTTTTACTGGGTAGCAAAGACGGAAAGCGAATTAAGAAACACGGTGCAGATTCAGTTCTACTTGGCTTCAGTCGAAACGAGTTGCTATAATTAGGTTCGTCTCATTTTGAGCTTCACGTGCAACAAAATCAATTATGTGATGCTTGATTATCATCCGAAACTTTCCAATGTCACCAGAATGTTCATATGATTTAATCATTGATGATTAAAAAATATTTATTTGTTTATGTCGCATGAATAACAGCAATTAGGCTGAGACTTGAATGTGCAGATGCGTTCCCACATCCTGCATCACACATTTGCGTTCGAAATTATTAAATAGATCTTACTTCATTTTTCTTTATTACCACCAAAATTAAAATTGAAACAGTTAGCAAAAAACAACAAGAAATTATATTTCAGAATTAAATGAACGAAGCTGGGAACAAGAATAAAAAATATAACGAGATTGGTTTGTTATCAAAATTGGGCACAACTATTCATTGGATGAATCAGAAAAGTTTTTGAATTTTTGGTGGTATTGGTTGACGAGCTTCGACTACAAATTGACGTATGTATAACTTCAGATGTTTAGGATGTATTTTCTTTCAAGCTCGTTTGTGTTTTCGGAAGTTACTTTTGTGGAGTTTCTCTTTTATACTGGTCAAAATAAGATTGGACGAGATCCTTCAGAGCTTTGCCTATTGATGTGTACTCTGCTTCGCTTAAGTTTGCAAGAGATACACGACCTGATAAACGCGATGCACCAAAGCCCTGTCCTGGTAGTAGAATGACACAAGCATCTTCAGCAAGTTTGAGCAAGATTTCGCTTATAGAAAAGCGAGAACGTAACCAGCTCGCAAAGGATGAATCGTGCATATGTTCAGCAAGTTTTTCAAAATCGACTATAAGATAGTAGTGAACAGCATCGACATTGTCCTGTTCATGTTCGAAATTGTGGCTAATAGCCGCACATAAAGCAAGTTTTCGATCGCGAACAATTTTTTTCACACAGTTTTTGTATGAATCAGAAGTATCCATAAGACCAAAAAGAGAGAAGAGTACCATCTGTACTTGCTGTGGTGTCGATAATCCAGCTGTGTGATTCAATGCTACTGAACGGCTGTCGGCTACCAGTCGATCGATGAACTTGAGCGAGTCAGGTCTAGGTGTAATCGATTCATAACGCTTGTGTAAAGCTGTTTTTTCCCCATTATCTAATTCTGCTATTTTTTCATCGATAATGTTGTTATGATGAATACCAATGACACCAAGTCGCCAGCCGGTTGCACCGAAGTACTTCGAGAATGAATAAACGAGAATCGTATTTTTCGGACATTCGGCAAACAGAGAAACGAAGTTGTCAGCAAAGGTACCATAAACATCATCCGTTAGAATAATCAGATCGGGTCGATCATTCACAATTGATGCGATATAAGCAACACTCTTATCATTGAGTTTAACTGACGTTGGATTGGTAGGATTGACAAGAAAGAACGCTTTAACCTATAATTATAGTGCATAATAATAATAATCAATATTTTTAAATCACACTGAGTTTTTTCAGTTTCAAAAAAATGAGGAAACATCAATTTGCATCCGATTTAAATGTGTACTGCAAAAACTGAGTCGATTTATATATGTTGTGAATAATTTTAAGAAAAATATTTGTTTTTGAAAAAATCCCTTTACTCCCTCCCCCTCAGGGATGCTCTGACCAATACTGACAATTTTTTCGATAACTCAGCCATTTCTTGACGGATTCTTCTCATCTTCGAACTCGACTGAGATATTAATGAGATCATTATGTGTACAAAATTTCATGACAATTGGATGAGGCTTTCAAAGGTTATCGTGTTAACAGCCGGACGGACACACTGACCGAATCTAGAGTGTGCTCACTTTTTTTTGAGTACACAAAAAGAAATAATTCTTCACATGAAAATATATTTGCTTCGGACTTACAGGAAATATTGATATATACTATACCTTATTGTCACGTAAATTGTCAAGTTCATCTTTCGGAAATTGCCAATTTTGATCTTTGTCAGCATAAATATTAATAATATTCAGACCATACTCTGACAAGTGCGGGATTTCCATGTATGGCGAGAAAATAGGTAAGCCAAGAGCAATTGTATCACCTTGCGAGAGTAGTCCATTGATACGCAAGGAATTGAAAATATAGGTCATTGCAGCCGTACCACCTTCCACAGCAAAGAGATCGAATTCACCACTGAGTGGCTGTAAAACAAAAAAGTAACTAGAATTGCATCAGAGTTCATCTTCGTGATTAAAAATCTTTCAGTTTTAGTGATAAAAAGAAATTGCGTCTTACTGAAATCATCTTATAAGCTCTTTGAACATTTTTACTATAGAATACAACGTTTTATCGTCTTGTCATCATATCAATACGAATAGTGTTAGTTAACATTCTGTTGTTACAATAAGATATGTGAAAATTTGATATCGATCTTTGCCTATTTTCTAGATGTGTTGCATTAGCAGGAGGAAAATATTTAGTACAAGGCGTAATGGAGAAATAAAAATTATCACCATCGTTTGGCATGCGTTTTGGGGGGAAAATCACAGGCCCGAAATTGATTCGTTTGACGAAAGTTTACTATATGCGTTCTGACTGAGAGAGATATTGAATTTCAATAGTTTCGATGATTAATAAAGCCTGCTTAGAAATCATTCGCATATTCGAAAGAAAATATTTCTTCATACTTGTAAAAGTGCGTCTAACCTCAAAATACAAACAACAAATGAAAGACCCATTTTAATTTTTCAATGCATCCACTCCGTTGGTTTCCATCGGAATGAAATATATTCATCGATGTAATAGTCTGGAAATGCGTTCGATTAGATGGGAAACAGGTCACTTGAGAATTCTAATTCATCTGATGGTCTCAATCAATCCATTTATCAAATATGCCACTCACATATACGCAAAGATTTGCTCTTGCCATAGCAATGACAAAGCAAGAGTGAAAAGCCTAGTTTGCATCTGATCCTATTCAAAATGCGACTTACATGTTTCCCAAACATCTCCCGACGTATGTATTGACGAACGATTTGTTCGGAGAGTACGAGCATTCGGTCAGGTACTGGATAGTTGCAAGCAAGTATAGCTTCACACATTTCGTAGAGAAATTGAGAAACATCGAGTTCCAAATTGTCACGTACAAACGAGACAGCATCACGTAAAAATGCAACACCATTAACATTACTGTTCTCAGTACAAAACAAGTTGAAACGATTTTCAATGCCTTCACGTTTCGGGAAACCTCCCACACGCTTTTCTGGATCCATTGATGATAGTTTGGACTCGTTCATAGCGAAAAGACCAAGTTGAAAAAAACTATCTCTTGGAGCTGTTGCGAAAAAGTTTGGATTACCTCTGCCTGCATTCAATATAGCCACATTTCCTGATCCAGATTCACTTGAACTTGCTTTTGCTACTTCTATTAATCGATCTCTAAATTCAAATGGACTTAATGCTTCTAACTGTTTGATATCCAGGTGTGCAGACATTTTTGATTCTAAAAGCAGAAAACAACAAAATTGACGTTTGTTTGTAATTAGAGTAGCAAGCTAAAACAAAACTATCAATCTAGACAAGAAACAGAAAAAATGAATGATGTGCAAATATGACTCTTCTATAATCCGTGTACTGTAATCAGCGTGATAGAAAAATGTCGTCATAGTTTATATGTGCTTTCTATTCTTTCCTCCGAACTGATGGATGCCGAGTAGTGAATGTTATTGATCAATAGCATGCATCGTTCGACATCAATTACATCCTACACAGGTCTTAACATGATAAAGGTAGTTGATGGCTAGGAAAAGTTTTGAATCAAAATAAGCAGCAAAGCATCCTAGGGCAGGAAAAATTGATACTATTGTTGCGCGTTTTTCGACTTTCATCGCTTATGTTTTACATGTACTTCTTTCATTAATCTAAGATAATTTCGTGGCAGTTTCTGTGCACAACGATCAAAGGTCCTTAAATCAATAAGAGATTATGATCAATGTGAGTTATTCCAATTTCAGTCATTCCACCTAAACATAGTGTCGATCCTGCATGCGTCAGAGCCTTATAAGTCGCCCCGTATTGAAATTTACAACCTATTTTAATCGATATTAAATTAGCTCGAATCTTTACATATGGTTGTCATCTCAGTTTGTTTCACAGTCCCCTATGTATCACTATCAGTAGATTACCATTTATGCAACAATTCACAGCTTTTGTGTTCGTTTATTCTGCTCGACAACAATTTTCAATGAGTACAAAGAAAAGAAACTACGAAAATTTCGTTTAGCTATTTTAAATCTTTCAAATACTTTAACATTTCGGAAAAAAAACCACACTATACTCATCACCGACACTAAATCGAATCCCACACATAGTTCTACAACAAATTTTTCAAAATAATTTTTAAATGAGAATTATACACTGATTTATACTATTTCCCAAAAGCGAAGAATTCATAAGACAATTCATTTTTCTTTCTGAAAAACTAATAATGATTTCGTAATGAATGGCATATTACCTGTACATTGAAGAAACAAGAACTACTCAATTTTACCTTCCGAAACTAGTGCAGATTCTCTCTATTTACATGCACAGGATTTACATTGCATCGAATGTTTTTCTTTCTTTCCAACATGACTCATGTCTAGCATCAGTCTAGTGAAGACATGGTTGAGTGATGGCGACGCATTTGTACCAACTCAAACCAACTAACTCTTTCCCAGTTCGAATCATTTGTAATAGTCAGACACTTGTTTGCATGCATGTGATCTGATGTCAATTAAATAACTGCAGCTTCGAAACTCAAAATAAGACGGCATCACATGCCTTTTGGCGCTTCTTGGTCGACTCATACATGCGTTCTTAAACGACTACTGCTTATATTTTTTTTCTACAAACGAAGAGCGTTGAATTCTGAATTGTTTTTGCATTTACCCGAACATCAATCTCAGTAATCGTGCTTTTCAACATAAAAATATATTAGACTACTTACGAGTTGTTAATAAGTTTTCAATAGGAACAATGGATTTTTGAGACGACGAAAGGACGATATGCTGATTATTATCTCGAATGCTAGCAACAGCGTCCCTTTTATACCATTCGACTGGGTTTTCCTATTTAGCAATTGAGGAATACTTTCGGTATTTTCCAGCTAATATGCAATAAAATCCACCTTCATACAGTGATAAAACTACATCTTCGGTAATATCCGACATAATTCATTCAAAGTACGTAGTCGGAAAGATGTTTCTATGTAGTGTGGATCATTGCCATATCAAATTACATGCAATGGTAAATTCCTTCTTCCGAGGTATGCTTAGATTTCCGAAAAAGGAAAATAAGGAAATTTCCATTACCTTCGAAACCATGTAAGGTCAAAGAAAAGTATTTTTGCGCATTATCGATTTTTTTTGTAATAACAACTTTCGATGATTCCAGGTTCAAATTTTCCGTAATTTCTTTTTTTGGAAATCTAAACTCAGTTGAAATTAGGTTGACCTTCCAGATTAGTAGTGGGTTCGGTAGGGTTCATTTGGGATAGGATGGAATTGGATGGATTGAGTTGGGCTGTGTTGGGAAACGTAATGGCGCATACATCGGTATCAAATAGACTTTTTGTACGGCAGGCGAGTTTGGAATAGGTTCTTGTTAATTTTTTTAATAGAACCTTCTTTGAGATATGGCTTTAGAAATTTCGGTCTCAATAATAATTCGTTGGATTCTTTTACAGCGAGTTTTTATATCGGTCATTATTTTTGGTTCATGCGCTTATGGGAGCATTCAAAAATTTTGTTAAATTAATAATAGCCTTTGTTGAATAAATGTAATTCAATCTGCCATCTTTTTCTGAAGAATGCGATATAAAATCATTGATTGAATTTATCTTAGAAAATTTGTTTTGCACATTCTTTTGTTTAATTTGAATTCTCTATCGTTGCATTTTTATAAAATGTTGGTCACATGGTGACATGGAATTTATCTGAATTTTGTTTTTGCTATTATCACATTGAACTTCAAGAGGATTTTTCTATCAATGTTACAATGAGTATTTTGGGTGATCTGTTAAATTTATATCGAAATGAGAAGAAATTTTTAAAAATATTTTAAAAATTAAACAAATTCTATAGTTGAAATGTACAAAAGAATCTCTATCAATCATTGTCACAATATGATCGAATAATTAAAACAGATAAGATTATTTATAGTATGACCCTTGTGATTAGAATCTGAATATAATCAATACTATCTATTATTTTTGTATTGATAATTATACAAAAAAAGGAACGTAATAATTCTTTTCAATTTTCATAAATAGATAAATTATTTAGTGATTTATTAAAAGTTTAATATAATACGAGGAGAAAAGAAAAAAAATGCTTTTTTCAATAAGTCCGTTTTTTTTGGTGGATTCCAGTCTCAACTGAAATTCTCATGTCAGCCGTGACTAAAAAATATACATTCGATAGCGATACATTTATCATTACTTGTGCCAGCCAAACCCAGCTCAACTCATCGCATCCTATCCTAGCCCTGTCCAACTCGCTACTAATCTTAGAACTCAACCTAATTTTTACTTGTCTTTATAATAAGACAAATCGTATGTAATTATTTTTAAAAGCATTCATTTATATTCCCACGAAACTTTTCTTATACTACTTTCATTTGGATACCCAGGAAAAAAAAGAATTTTCCATCGCATGCTTTCTCTCATTCATTGTGAAAGAAACGCATTCGAAATACACGGAAAGAGACGGGGAAAAGCAACACGTACTATGTGATAACAATGATTCACATTACACAGAAACACACTTGCGTCTACGTACTTTGAATGATTCATGTCGGATATTACCGAAGATATAGTTTTATCTCTGTATGAAGGTGGATTTTATTGCATATTAGCTGGAAAATACCGAAAGTATTCCTCAATTGCTAAATAGGAAAACCCAGTCGAATGGTATAAAAGGGAAGCTGTTGCTAGCATTCGAGATAATAATCAGCATATCGTCATTTCGTCGTCTCAAAAATCCATTGTTCCTATTGAAAACTTATTAACAACTCGTAAGTAGTCTAATATATTTTTATGTTGAAAAGCACGATTACTGAGATTGATGTTCGGGTAAATGCAAAAACAATTCAGAATTCAAAGCTCTTCGTTTGTAGAAAAATATATAAGCAGTAGTCGTTTAAGAACGCATGTATGAGTCGACCAAGGAGCGCCAAAAGGCATGTGATACCGTCTTATTTTGAGTTTCGAAGCTGCAGTTATTTAATTGACATCAGATCACATAAATGCAAACAAGTGTCTGACTATTACAAATGATTCGAACTGGGAAAGAGTTAGTTGGTTTGAGTCGGTACAAATGCGTCGCCATCATTCCACCATGTCTCAACTAGACTGATGGTAGACATGAGTCATGTTGGAAAGAAAGAAAAAAAAACATTCGATGCAATGTAAATGCTGTGCATGTAAATAGAGAGAAGCTGTACTAGTTTCGGAAGGTAAAATTGAGTAGTTCTTGTTTCTTCAATGTACAGGTAGTGTGTCATTCATTTCAAAATGAATGGTGATTTTTTCCAGAGATGGGGAAGTCAAGTCAAGTTAACTCTGACTTGACTTGTAACTTGGAAAATACCTTTCCCAATTAGTCCTGCGCTGTTTTGTTTTTCAAACAAAATTATATCGTCTTACATATTTTCGCGTCCGGGAGATAGTATAAATCAATGTATAATTCTCATTTCAAAGTCTTTTTGAAAAATGTGTTTTAGAACTATCTGTGGGATTTGATTTATTGTCGTTAATGAGTGTAGTGCGGTTTTTGTTTGGAAATATTGAGATATTTGAAAGACTAAAAATTATTTAACAAAATTTTTGCTACTTATTTTCTTTCTGCTTCTTGATTGCTCCTACTAGAGCATTGCAGTTTCAATTCGAATGATGGGAATATGCTCACGCTAAATTTATGTTTTTTTTTCTAAAGAATTTTGTAATTAAAGAAAACTTCTGAAACAGTAAAACTTCTTAGGTACTATATTGCGTAACTATCAATGATTTTAGTTTGCTCAATATCTTATTAGAGAGAGTTTATCGAGAAATTGAGAAGTAGGAGTTTCTATTGATTTCTTCTTTAATTCAATCATTGTTATAACTACTGAAAGAACGACATAAAGTATTCATTTTTATTGTTACATTCATATCACTGACAGGCCAGCATGTATATCAATGGATAGGCATGGAAACTATTGCAACAACAAAAAAAGCATTCGATAACTTTTGGCCAAATAGTCAGGGTGACGTAGTGCAGTGATGATGCATTCATATTTTCTTAGAAGCGTTTTAGACTTTTGTGTAGAGTTTCTGAAATATATTTGAAATTCAGATTTCACTGGAACCGGTTGAAAAGATGCGGAAAAAGTCACCGTATGCGACAGAAAAACACGAGAAATCGCTGCAATGTGGAACTAGTATTTCGGCGGAAAATTCTTTGGCTTTTCCGATGATTTAGGGCCAAATCCTGTCGGAAAAAATAGAGAATTTCCCATCGGAATATTGCTTCTGTGTTCCATCGATTTCTGGTATTTGCCTGCCAGAATCGAACCCAACTTCTTAATCTTGGATACTTCTTCTGATGGAAAGGGAACTTTTCTATTACACCATTAAATAAAATCTGAATTCAATTATTTCTTGCTTTTTTAGCTGAAATTGAAATGGCATCGAGCACCTTTGTTGAAAATCCACAAGAACACCAACAGGTAATATTGATCAGCATATTTTTGTCTTATAACTTAAAATGAACAATGAAACATGTTAACATATAATATACATGTTTTCATTGCACTTTCAGTTTATTTTTTATTTTTTTTATAATTAGAATGTTGAATCAGCAACCAATGAAGAAGATTTTGCTAAAGATAATTATGCAATTATGCCATTAATTCAATCAAAAGAGAAAGTCGATCGTCAATTAATATCTGTACGCGATATCGATGAAAAAATGGCAAAGAAAACAATTTGGGTTCGAGGTCGTCTTCATACAAGTCGTGGTACAGGCAAACAATGTTTTCTTATTATTCGTCATCAATCAGCAACGATGCAGGCAGTTGTTTGTGTTAATGAATATGTTAGTAAATCAATGGTTAAATTTGCTACTACGTAAGATTACGATAAACGAACAAGGAACTACGCTAATCTTGAAAAATAAACAATTTCTCTTCTTGTTGTTTTTGTAAACTAGCATTTCGAAAGAAAGTGTTATTGATATTGAAGGTGAAATTTCATTAGCACCGACATCTATTGAATCATGTTCACAAAAGAATGTTGAAATACAAGTTAAAAAGGTAAATATGAAGCAGATTATTTGCGCGTAACGATCTTTTCTTGTTTTCTTATTTGTCAAGTTGTTCGTCGTGAGCGCTGCTGAACCTCGTTTACCATTATTAATCGAAGATGCTATGCGAGCAGACGAGGCAATAGGTGAAGGTATTCAAGCACCGCACGTTCTTCAAGATACACGGCTGGATAATCGTGTCATTGATTTGTATGTTTTACTAATTGCTTTTCAAAAATAGATAACATTCATTATTTTACTGTAGACGTACACCCGCTAATCAAGCTATCTATCGTGTTGAGGCAGGTGTTTGCAAATTATTTCGGGATACTCTTGATGCAAAAGGTTTTGTTGAAATTCATACGCCAAAAATTATTTCGGGTAGATATCTATACGATTGATCGTATCGACGAAATTAACGCTCTTGTATTCTATTAATGTTTAGCTGCATCTGAAGGCGGGGCTAATGTATTTCAAGTGTCTTATTTTAAATCCGATGCGTATTTAGCACAATCGCCACAGTTTTATAAACAAATGGCTATTGCTGCTGATTTTGGAAAAGTTTACACAATTGGAGCAGGTCCGAATTATTATTTTTGAGTATTATATATATTTGTTAAGTTTTGTTTTGTAAAGTCTTTCGAGCTGAAAATGCAAATACGCATCGTCATTTAACGGAATTTGTTGGTCTTGATCTTGAAATGGCATTTAACTATCATTATCACGAAGTTGTCGATACGATTGGAGATTTATTTACGCAAATTTTTAAAGGTCTTGCTTCACGGTTAGTTGAAGTTATGCATGTGAATCTGCAGAAAATTTATTCTAATGATTTTAATTTAGATTCGCGACCGAAATATCTGTTATTAACAAACAATATCCTTGCGAACCATTTGAATTTGTTGAACCAGCGTAAGTTTCGATTAGTGCATTCGAAGTTTTATTTTGTTGTTTATAATTTAAATCTTTCTTAGACTACGTCTCGAATATAAGTACGGTTTAACACTACTTGCTGAAGCCGGTATTCAAATGGGTTCTGAAGATGATCTATCAACAGAAAATGAACGTATTCTTGGTCGCATCGTCAAAGAAAAAGTAAATTTACAATAGAAATCCTTTTTTCCTTCTAGAGGTAAATTTGAATACGTATTTTTTTGTTCGTAGTATCATACAGATTTTTATATCCTCGATAAGTATCCATTGGCTGTACGACCATTTTACACAATGCCTGATCCAGATAATCCGGTAATCAACGGCTATTTAATCGCTTTTGTTTTCTCATCAAATTTTATTATTTTTTTTATCTTAGAAATATTCAAATAGTTACGATATGTTCATGCGTGGTGAAGAAATTCTTTCTGGTGCTCAACGTGTTCACGGTAAGTCTAATTCTCGTGTTAAATCATAAGTTTCGATGCAAATTTCGGTGTGTTATGTCTTTTTAGATGCGCAATTATTACTTGAACGTGTAAAACACAATAAAATAAATGTTAATCAAATAAAATCTTATATTGATGCATTTCGTTATGGTTGTCCACCACATGGAGGCGGGGGTATTGGATTAGAACGTGTTGTCATGCTTTACTTAGGCTTGGGCAACGTAAGGAAAACATCAATGTTTCCTCGTGATCCAAAACGCATTACGCCTTGAATAACGAATCGTGGACGGGTTTTTTTCTATGTTTTGCGATTACTTTAATTCTATTTTGCTTTCATTTATTGTCAAACGAACAGCTAACCTCATTGTTCGATGATATAAAAATATTTTATGGAAATAAACGAGAACATGCTATAAATAGAATGTCGTTTTCGGCGAACATGAAACATTTCTACAGACCACAAGGACAATGAATATATCGAAAGTGTAACAAAAGATATAATAAAACGAGAAAAAAATGATGAATGCTAGAATCTGAATATTACTAACAGTGTATTAGAGAGAACTAATCGATTTTTGTTAACAGCTAGTCTTAAAATAAATGTGTTAAAGCTAAGATGCTCTGTATGAATTTCAATGGAAGATTGTGCAGAACGAAGAATTGCAATTGAATAACACTGACGTGACCGCTACGATTGAAGCAACGAAGAATAAATTTGAACTTTAAAATTGTTGATGCGAGGCACAGTACTTTCATTCTCATACTGTACTATGTTTACAAATCATATCACATCTCTCTTCTGCTTAAACTAAACCACTTACGTCAGTCAATATCTGAAAAACTCTACCGGTAATCCCAAAACAACGAGAAAACGTTTCTTTGTTCTGAGCCATAAATAAAAATAAATCTAAATTTATATTATTTGTGCTAAGTTTCATGCAGAATTACGTCGAGTTATGATTGGCAGTTGGGTCAGACTCACGATTTCGAGATATCCATTATACTTTACGAGAAACTCAAACAACAGAAAAGAATCGTTTTTATGAGTTACCTGTATTAAACCTATGAATATGTTAGACACGGCTATCATCATTCGAATATACCAATTATCAACTACTTATGGATAAGACAAAATTACGACAGGCCCTCATGATCATTATTATTCGATTATGCTCAAATTTCCTCCATCCGCAGAATAATTTTATGAAGAATCATCAGGTAATAAAATAGTGTCATTCCAAAAGATTCAGACCAATTTTCGGTCCAATGATTGATACGCATGTTTGTGCCATAGGGTCATACTTTATGTACGAAACACATAGATATACACACGAGTAATTCATATCATCCGCTCTGTGTTTTCTTCGGGAAACCGTAGTGAAAAAACAACAAGGCATTTCTCATGGAAACTAAAATTACCGACAAATTTCAGAATAACTCATTTTGGTTAAAAAATTCCCTTTTCTGCACCTTGAACTTATAAGTCTAATTATGTACGTCTTTTCCTGCCTCCATTCGTTACACCAAAAGTGCTTAGTCATATGGAACTTGGGATTCGACTTCAATTAATAAAACATATTTGTCCGTGCAACTGATCCTTTATTCCTGCTTTGCGGTCTGGGAGCGCGCAGCATCCCCCGCAAAGTCGCTACCCATGCTCATCTGTGTGTATACAGTATAATATCAGTTTTTTATTTTACATTTTTTTATTCCTTGAAAAATTATATTGAACAAGAAGTATAGAATTGGACGTACAGGAAAGAGTGCTAAAAGAATGTATAGAAACGACGTAAATCTCAATGGGCCACAAAAGCTTTAGCATTTTTTTGATCGTTTCTCACCGAAACCATAAACCGGATGGAATCTGTAAACGTGCAGAAAAGTTGAAGTTATTTGTAGACTGCTGTCGATAAAAACATATTGCTGATATTATTGCATGCGTCTTAGTGTATTATGAATAAATGTTTTTTTAAATAACGATCGTTTTATTTAAGTTCAAAAGATGCTTTTTATTTTAATCCATCATATCAAATTGAAACGCGACAAGATCAGCAATTGAGAAATACATAGTAGATACAGTAAGCAAACAATGTAATCAAATCTCTGATTATTTTTATCTGTTAGAATTTCAAGCCGATATTCTCCTGCCTTCTATTTTTTGCAACTGTTGTAGTACAAGAATGATTTACTCGCACGATGATGTAGTGTCTTGTGCCATCTAGCGAAACTAAAATTATAATATCGTTTCCTTTGAGAAGACATCAGTTATTACTTTTGTATTCAGAACGAAGCAACAACAAATTACAATGAATATCTTGTCTGAAACGAAATTTGCTTTAAAATAGATTGTGTTCAGTGAGTTCTTTCTATTAGTTGATTATACTTCGTATTTGATTGGTTCTCACGATAGCTTTACATTGATATCGATTTTTTAAAACGTTGTTCTTTTCAAGTCATAAGTATAAAATTGGTATAGAGAATATTTCTTTTTTTTAAATCTAAATGTCTTCATCAACATCAATTGAACAACAACACCAAGAATTTAAAAGACAAATCTCCACGCATGATACTTATCCATGTTTTCTTCTTGATCAAACATTTCAACAACGTATGTTAAGTCCATCGTCAAATGCTATGCCATCCTACTTATCAGCTCAACCATTTTCACCGTTAGCTAAAAGTCCAATAACAACATTACCAACAAATACTAGTCGACTATCAGCTAAACAATCGAATCAATATCGTTTATTTCCATCAAGTCCATCAAATAATTTAAATACAAATCGAATAAATACACGTTCAGCAACACAAATTGTTGATGTACCTATTGAGAAAACTATAGTACCACTAAGAACAATGACTGATTTATTTCCTTCATTTTCTTATAGCAGTATGAAAACATCAAAAGGAAAATCGTCGCATCATTTAATCGATACAACACGTTCAGTATCAGCAAGTACAATTGGCGTATCAATATTTGGTTTTCGCGAAGAAGACCTAGAATTTATTGTACAACAATTTCAAGATATTGGCCAAATTGAAAAAATTGAACGCCCTTTAGGTTGTGAAAAAGGAAACTTTTTAAATATAACCTATACTAATCATGTATCGTATCAAAATGCCCTCAATCGGGATGGACGAGTTTTAAACGGATACATGATTGGTGTTGTCCCCTTAATTAATAAATAATATCAACTGAATTGCGTATTATTTTTGTATGTTAGTTATTCAGATATAAATAAATAAAACTATATGATAAATCCTAGTTTTTTTTCACCAGTAAAAACCTCTAATTATTATGAAGAAACTTAGCAACATCGGTTACTCGAATAATTTCGATTGTAAGAGATTGAATTATCTCGTTAGTTTTCCTCTTTTTTTAAATCAATAGAAAAAATAGATATGTTCATAGAAAAATGACTCCTTCAGATAAGATCAACATCACTCATCGGCTATTTTAAGATATGTCAAACTAGAGAAGAAAGTTGCCGTTGAAATTATAGAGACAGTTAAATTTGCTTTCATCATAGAGAAAACTTATTGTATGAGAAAAAAAGAAACAAATTAAAGCCGTCCAAGAACATTTAGGCGTTATCATATCTGTTTTAATTGCAAAATATTTTTATATGTTTGACATGACTTTCTTATTAATATAATTAGTTATACAAGAAAATGCAGATTGTTTTTTTTTCTTGTCCTTCTTCTTTGAACAAATCAGTAGATAATAGTGTTATTGCGTAGCTATATATTCCAATGTAATACTACTTTAACGATGATTTGCATATAAACAAAAAATAGAATTGTCTCTTGATTCTTTGTTTTATTAAAATAGCACCGAAATATATATTTTTTTCTTCTGTTGCTTATTAGGCCATTAATACCACTATTTAGTTGTCTTTAGAGCCCGATTGAGGTTTTCCGACAATAGTAATTCTTTCTTCTGCATTGTGATTCGTAGTAGTTTCTAACAAAAGACATGATTGTTCTTTGTATGTAACTATTAGATCTTAATCTAATGTTGAAGAGACTTCAATGAATGCTTGTTGTTTGGATTCATTCCCTAGTCAACTCTCCCTAGAAGAATCCCCAGGGAGTCCCTGGAAATTTTGTGGTTTTGCGGAGACTCCCCGAGGAGTTGTCTGGGAGAAATGAGTGAAATATTTAATTACTATATAAATTCTTCTTAAATTTTAAAAAATTAAAGATTTATTTTTTTTATTTAGATATCTCATCAATTCTCTTCCCAGACAAATTCCCGGGGACTCACGGCGGGGATTTCATTATTTTGCGGGAACTCCCAGGGGGATCATCGGGGGAGTGGATTAGGGTTTATTTTAACTTGAAGAGGTTTCGAATCACTCGTTGTTATTGAATATTGATTTGCTGATATTCGCTGTTGAAGTAATTTCAATTGTACTTTATTATCAACTAAACTTTGCCGTTGTAAATTGTAATCTTTTGGATTTTTTGTAAAAACGTTTAAAATAAATTGAAGTAATGTTAAACGAAATTTTTGACCAAAAAAACAATAGAGTAGAAAATTTGTTGACGTATTAAATACAGTTAGCAAGATTCCAATGGAATTTAATGCATGAAATTTGAAACTTTCATACGAACCATGGGGATCAATGGCATACCATACGTTTAATACCAATAGCGGTAATTGACATAGAACAAAAACAATTATTATTGCTACAAGCATCAATGTTATATGATAATCAGCCGAGACCTTACGGTTTGTTTTGCCGAATAAACTTTGCTTACGGCGTTTTTTAGCAATTAAATTCTGTATAATTGTAATATTAATACATGTTAATGTAATAAATGGTATGACATAAACAACTGGTATATAAAAATATATTCTTATATATTTATGAATTTTTTTACCAATATTTGTCAGAAGACATTCTTGCGTATCTGGTGCATAACGTTGTTCCAACCAATAGGGTATACAATAAACAATAGAAAAAATATAAATCAATAGAATCGTCGTTAAAGTTGCACGTTTTGTTAATATATGTTTTGATTTCAATGGCAATTTAATTAATATAAGACGATCCATTGAAACAGCTATGGTTAAATATATAATTGATAAGAGTATTGTATTATAGACAGGCGTTGTTGGTAAACGTGATAGAATAATTTCAAAGGCAAATGGAGGTTCATTTGACATATAAACACTGTAACCTAATAAATATCGTATGGAATAGGACGGGATAAATATAAGCAGAAAAAGTATATTTGAACATGATAACGCAATTAAATAGATATTTGTAGATGTTGTACGCAATGATGATGACATAAGTACAAGAATAGTTATAATATTTCCGACAATGCCAAATATACTCAATACCATACCGACATATCCCCAAACAATTAGACGAAAAAGAAGAATATAACGAAGACTATGATCAACATCATGATCATAGGAATCGTTCGACAACATTTCGTTCTTTGTGTGAATGTTTTCTCGATGAAAATCTACAATAGAAGAAGAAGAAGAAACTAATCAATCTACTTTGTTTTAATATTCTACAATAAAGACAGCCAAGCCATTTGCATATGCTGTCTTTTAAAACAGAAAATAAAGTAAAGAAGGATGTCAAGCAAACATATGTATTCAGATGAGACTCAATCGGTCGATCTTACGGGAATAGCGGATGTGTAATATCCGCCATTTGAAGAAGAAAAGTATATATGGTAAATTGTAATGGATTGGCATTTTTGATCTTCAAGGCATGAGCGCTGACGAAGAAAAAAAAACACTCAGAAGAGAATTCCTGTTCGTAATTAACAGCTTCCATTCATTGTTTATAAAAAAGAAGGAACAAGAAAGCCTACCGTAACAGTTGATATTTAATACCGTCGAGAATATTATAAGTTATGTAAATTAACTCGAGTATCGTCTCTGTCGGACCTTGTTTGAACAATTTGTTTTTGATAAAAATCTCAGCATACAATTATAAATAAAACTTGAATAAATTCATTCAAGTAAACTTCCATCGGCTGCATTTTAGAAAAACGACTTCCTATTTATGGACTCATAAATAATGTATGTTTGTAAACGCTATTTCGATATGCCGGAATGTTGATTGGTGAAAGTCAAATACTTAAGTCAATAGTGTTAATTTGACAAGGAAAATCAATGTGTTGACTGCAATGGGATAGAGTTAAAGAGTATAACCGTGATAGTATTAATTACGGAAGCATACTTGCTTCTATATAATGTAATGCCGTTGGCTATCTATTTACTTGACTCAGTACGATAACCATATTTCCTATGGACTGATTCGAGCTCATCGCTTATCTTCTCTTCTATATTCTCGTACTCAATTGTCGAACGTGTCCTTTTGAAAACGAGAGAAATCACCACAATTTTTGATTTGATAAGGTTTTCTCTGATGGATTTCCATAGAGATAGAAGAGAAATGTAAGGAAAGAAAAGAAACGTATCTATTAATGAAGCTAACTAAGAAGCAGATTGATCATAGAAGAAAAAGAAGAGATGCGCTACTAGTGTAAATTGCTATTCAATGGCAACAATGGATACAAGTCGCTTATTTCTAACTTCAGATAGATGCCGAGTTTTCATCGGCATAAATCTATATTTATTTTGTTGTTCAAATCGAGCACAAGTCATTAAACAGGATCAGCATATTTCTCGACGAAAATTTCTGCATGGATTATATTCTCAATGGTTTAAAATAATTGAAAATCAAAAGCCGATACAAAAAAAAAAGATAGACAATTACGTTCATGCATAATAAAACATATTTTAATAAAAGAAAAACAAAACTAACGAGAAATTCAATGAAGGTCATAGTTTCTAGCATTAATATTCATTCATTCATTCTCATATTAATAATAATCGAAATTTTTTCTTATCTCTAGCTCATCTTTCTCTTTCTTTTTGCTGTATTCTTCTTTTCACTATTTCTACGATGTCATCAAGAATGGAGAAAATCATAGAGTGATTCCAAAAATGATAGCAAGGAAATAAATGACGACTAAAAATACTTTCTTTTCTAACTTAATTTTTTTCTTCTCTTTTTTGTAAGCACCTAGAAATGATTTTTTCCTTTTTAACTGATCAGTCTCATACTTGAACGAATAGTATTCTCTCTTTTTCATTTGTATTCAGATTTTCGCTTACAATCGAGTGATGAAAGATTATTCAATGATTCATATACGATATGATTAGTAAAACTGTTCGCTTTTCTCCAGGGGGGGGGGGGGGG